AAGGGACTTCAGTTGGTAACACTATGCAAACCTTAAGGAAAACACACAATCGAAGGAAAATGTCAAAGGGACTTAGTTGGTACATACATTAAGGAGGACTTATAATCAAAGGAAAATGTGAGTGAAACTTTAGTTGGTAACAATGTACAAACATTAAGGAGGACATTTGAGCAAAGGAAAATGACAGATAAACTTTAAGAGATAACACTGTACCAATCTTTAAAAGGGACTTTTGTTTGTGACACTATACAAACCTTAAGGAAAACGCACAATCAAAGGAAAATGTCAGAGAAACCTTAGATGGTAAAACTATACAAACATTAAGGGAAAAAAATCAAAGGAAAATGTCAGAAGGCCTTCATTTGGTAACACTACAAAACCGTTAAGGAAGAAATATAATCAAAGGAAAATGTAAGGAACATCCTTGGTAATATTTTATAAGTTCAACGAAGACAGATGATCAAAGGCCAGACGCCATCTTCAGTAACAGACCAACTTAGTAGATCAGGATGATTGATAAGAAATGTTCGCAAATGAGAGAAAACGAATGTGTCAAAGTTGAGAAATGTCACTCAATCTCTGTAAATATTGTTGACCCAGATCGGTTTTGTCCCGGTTTAGGATCAACTATCAGGACTGACCACCAGATTTGTCGCTTGTGAGAAAAAAATAAATAAATAACCGGCCGGTTTCTGAACGTATTTGCCCGTACGAGATGGAAAGTGGTGAAAGCTTTGACACTTTCTTGGTCCATTTAAGCATTTTTTGCCTTGGCCAACGAGGGGTGGAAGGGATGCTTTTTCCCCTGGGAATCCAGTTCCAGAATGGAGAAACTCGGCCAGTAAGTGACCAAAAAGCAAAAATTTCGTTTTTAAATTAATTTCAACAAATTTACACCAAACATCCTTATTTGTTTTCTCAATAAATTTAAATTTTTGATTTACTGACAGAGATTTTTTTTATACTCAGAAAACTTGCTTTAAAATTTTTAAATGGTAGAAATTCGCTTTCGTCTATGACACGGTCGCTTTGCTTTATCGGCTCGGCACTTTTCTAGAAAGCCCATTTTCTCTTTATATCATTTTTGTATTGTGACGACTGTAATAAAAGAAAGTTTCGAAATGTCGAAATCCTTCTTTTCATTCCACTCGGAGCCACAATGTTTAATTTACCAGGGCTAATTCATCCCATTCTGAAATCAACCTCGACGAACCCGACTGAAAACCACGAGTAAAATCATAATATGGGATATGCTGTAATGATGAAACCGGTGAAAAGAGCGAAGAAAAAGGAGAGCGGGGACGGTCTGAACTGGTCAAATATCAAACAAATCGCTCATCCCCGAAAACAAAATAAATTTTTCTTATTTTTATCCGAACACCTTGCCTGTTGAAACTGTCAATTTATGAATCAGTTGAGTAATCCTGACCTTAATGGGAAACCGTGCCAGGGTCTTGTCCGGCTAAATAAGGGGGCAATCGTTCGTAATCTGTAGAATTACCGACAGAAAATCCACCTATCTTTTATATTTTTATATTTAAGTTTAAGTTCGGTAATTGTGAAATACTCGTTTCAAAAAACACATCGCTTTTTGGCCACGGTGCATGACACAATAATGGCTTTGTCATTCAGACCGGTTTGACGATGATGAACCAAAAAAACATCAATAATAAAAAAATGTTTAATTATCCTTTGTAGTAAAACCTTCAAATAAAAACCTTCAATGTGTAGTAAATCCATTAACCAACAAGAAGGGGAATAAATGTAGCACAAACATAACATTCGACACGGACTTTTGAGCATAGTCCTGTTATTATGATATAATAACGTATTATCACATTGCTCAGCTTATACAGTGTCACCAACCAAAGGCTCACTGACATTTTCCTTTGATTACATCGCTTCCTTAAAGATTGTGTAGTGTTAACAAATAACGTCCCACTGGCATTTTCTTTTGGTCATACGTCTTTCTTAAGGTTTCTGCAGTGTTATCGTCCATCTGCATTTTCCTTTGATTATACGTCTTCCTTTGATTATACGTCTTCCTTGAGGTCTGTACAGTGTTACTAAGCAAAGTCCCACTGACATTATAAATTAGTTATATGTCTTAGTTAACATTCGTACAGTGTTACCAACTATGGTCCGTTGGTATTTTACTTGGATTATATGACTACCTTAAGGTGTACTGTGTTACTAACTAAAGTCCGGCTGGCATTATCCATGGATTAAATGTCTTTATGTTTTGTACAGGGTTACCAAGTAAAGTCTTTCTGACATTACATTTTGGTTATATGTCTTTCTTAAGGTTTTACAGTGTTACCAACTATAGTGGGTTTTTACGGTGTTACCAACTATGGTCCATCAGCATTTTCCTTTGATTATACGTTTTCCTTAAGGTCGGTACTATGTTACTAAATAAAGTCCCACTGACATATATTGGTTATGTGTCGTCGTTAACATTCGCACAGTGTTACCAACTATGGTCCATTGGTATTTTACTTTGATAATATGTCTTCCTTACCCATTGATTAAATATTAATCATTATCCTTTGATTAAATGCCTTCTTTAAGTTTTGTACAGTGTTACCCCAAGTATAGTCCCACTAACATTATTTTGGTTATAGGTTTTTCTTAATATTCGTACAGAATTACCACCCATGGTCCATCGGCTTTTCCTTTGATTATACGTCTTCCTTAAGTTTTGTACAGTTTAACCCAATATGGGCCGTTAATATTCTACTTGGATTATATGTCTTCCTTAAGATCTGTCCAGCGTTACCAACAATGGTTCATCTGTATTTTCATTTGATTATATGTCTTCCTTCATATTTGTACAATTTAACCCACTATAGTCTCAACACGAACACAAGAATGACAATTATGCAGAAAACAAACGCTTTGAGCCCTGAAGAAGTTCTCAATAAAGATCGAAACGTCGGCACGATGAAGAAAATGTTTTTCTAAAACCTACGTCACACCAGACCACATTTCATGGTCTCCAAATAATCATTGGCTAACGGTCACTAAACACCACACACACTACCATAGCCCGTTGATATTTCACTTGGATTGTATGTCTTCCTTAAGGTCCGTCCAGTGTTACCAACTATGGTTCATAGGCATTTTCATTTGATTACATGTCTTTCTTGATATCTGTACAGTTTAACCAGTATGGTCCATTGGTATTTTATTTGGATTACATGTCTTCCTTAAGGTCTGTCCAGTGTTACCAACTATGGTTCCTCGGTATTTTCATTTGATTATATGTCTTTCTTAACTTTTGTCATTCATTTTCTTTTAATTTTGTGTCTTTCTTAAAGTTTGTACCTGGTTACTATGGTTCATTGGCATTTCTCTTTGATTACATATCTTCATTATGGTTTGTGCAGTTTTACCAACTAAAGACCTCTGAACTATTGATTGTACGTAAATAAATGAAACATTGATTAATATTATATTATCACGTAACCTTAAATTACATCCTTCTTTCAATTAATAATTATTTTTATGTAAGGTCTTGGTTGAGATAAAAACGTCAGAGTCACGAGCGGGATTCGAACCCACGACCTTCTGCTAAATACGCCGATGCTCTACCCCTTGAGCTATCGTGACTTCGATCCTCTCGGACATTTCTTTCAAATTTCAACCAAGACCTTACATAAAAAGAATAATTAATTGAAAAAAGTAACTTGGTCAAGCACTAAAAAGATAAATGGATTCATATTTAATACGTAAAAGAAGTATCACTTCACAAAAAGCTCCTAGTGGCTACTTCATAAGTCGCTGAGAATCCTGATTACAAGACATTTGAAAATGGCAAAAAGAGCGAAAATTCGAACGGTTGTAGGTTGAGATGGGGAGTTGGCGTCTGAGTGGATCGAAGTCACGATAGCACGGGAGTAGAGCAGCGGTGTATTGAGCCGAATGTCGTGGGTTCGAATCCCGCTCGTGACACTGACTTTTTTATCTCAACCAAGACCTTACACAAAAAGAATAATTAACTGAAAGACGTAACTTGGTCAGTTGACCACTAGAACATAAATGGCCGTATATGTATTGTTCATTTATAATGTAATTATGCACATTATACGTTAAATTTATGAGGATTACTAATGTAAAAAATCTTCTTGAAGGAAGAAAATAAAATACTGGGCAATTTTTGCTTTATATTGTTTTGGTGATGAGTTCATTTTTTTAACCTAATAAATATGTAAAATAAATGCGTTTCGTGCACATCGGTTGAATTCAAATGTTGGTAACAACTGTCAAACTTTCTTTGCCGTCTTAATAAACATGCGGGGAGAGACTTCAAGGTGCATAAATATTCAGAAATTCGAAAATATTTTTACTAATTCTCTTCGAGCTCGTTTCTAAACGAAAACCTCTGGGAAAGAAAAGTCCTTTTGTTGCTAATGAGCAGATGTCAGAGCATTTTCAAAACTTAGGGGCTCTCGGTTAAATTATACGTGGAATCTATCTAAGCAGCCCAAAAAATGTTAAATTATTAAGAGATGTCAGTTTTGTGTGGGTATGATTTATGTTCAGAACTATGGAAATTGGATGGTTGAATTGATCCTCGATTATGAAATTACCCTTCTAGTATCTATTGATTCTATGTGGCTAGTTTTCAATAGAGATCTCTTATTACAAAGGGATTAAGGAAATTATTGTCTGACAATATAATGGTGGTTAGTTCAGGACCTCTTATCTCACCCAGGTTAAGCCTTGCACGGGTGGCTTTCTCTTTTTACCCCTATTGATGCAACCCGTACAATCTAGAATCTTGACGGACAGTCTAATTAATTAAAGTCCGGTCTCGTCAGAAGAAGACTCGTTTTTTGTTTTTCCATTCTACCGGTTTTCGAGACCTACGCCAACTCGGCCGACCCAGTTCTCGGGGCTGAAGAAAAAACCGGTTTCCTTTCACTATCAGCTGCCCTGGAGTCCTCTCGGTTTCGGGGAGTTTAGGATCGGTACGCCACGGAGGGACGGTTTCTTACCTGGGGTGCCGGGTAGTCCTGGTAGCAGGAGACGGAGGCGGAAACGTAAGCAGTCGCGACCATGAAGAAGCCGAGGATGACAGAGACGGCGACGAGCGTGACAGCGGCTATTTTCGCGATCTGGACCGCCGTTCCCCTCGGGCGGACGTAGGCCTGTAAAGAAGAAAAATCTCATGATATTTCAATAACAAAAGAAAAACAAAGAAAAGACATGGTTAAAGAAATATGAAAAAAATCAAAATATAGAGACCAGAGGGACCAGGGTGAGACTCAACGTGCAAAATATTATTTGTAAGCTATTCAGAAGTTTTCATGGTAAAGTATACGTGGGCTACTCGTGTTACAAACTTTGTCAGTAGATTCTACATTCAAAAAGAAACCAAAAAGTCCTAATTAACAATGGTCCGAATCTCAACAGTTTCGGAGTTATTTCACTTTTTTCTGATTTTTTAAGATTTCACGACCTCGCTTCAAATAAACAACGATAACTCCAAAACTGAAAGGTTTTGAACAAATCCGTTGATACCATTGAAAACTACGTTAAATGTCCAATAAAATGTGATCAATAATAAACTTGTAAACCTTCATGAATAAGCGTTTTAGTTGCGGGAACTTTGAAAAAAAAAACAAGTTTTTTTTTCAAAGTTGCAAAACTTGCTATGGTGATTCTAAACTACTATTTCCAAATCTAGAGACCAACGAATTTCGGAGAAACGTACTCCATTTAATATTCTTTTTGTGGTGCATTCGCTTTTTTAATTATTTTTTTCAAAAATGAAGAAATTGATGGAGGAAAAGAAAAAATCCTTGGTTGAAGGATTGGTAAGGTGGAAAGATTAATAATGATAAAAAAATAAAAAACTTAAGGAAATGTTGAACGAATTTATTACACGTTTTTTAATTTTGATTTTAAATGCTGTCCACCCTAATTAAACCAAATTTTAAAAAAAGTTTAATCAATTCGTTCAAAATTTCCTTAAGTTCTTTTTTTCATTTTCCGCCTTACCAATCTTGTGTGAACGATTCAGCCACGGTTTTTTTTTCCTTTCCTCCATCAATTTCCTCATCTTTGAAAAAAGTAATTAAACAAGCAATTACACCACTAAAAAAGGATATTAAATGGAGTACGTTTATCCGAAATTTATTTCTTTTTTAGGTTTAGAAATAGTAGTTTAGAATCACCATAGTAAGTTTTTAAACTTAGAAAAAAAAATTTTTTAAGTTCTCGCTACTAAACCACTTATTTCCCGAATGTTTACAAGTTTAGTTAGTATTTTAGTTAGTATTAATCACATCTTATTGAAAATTTAACGCAGTTTTTAATGGTATCAACGGATTTGTCCAAAACCTTTTACTTTTGGAGTTATTGTTTATTTGAAGCAAGGTTGTGAAATCTAAAAAATGTGAAAAAGTGAAATTACTCCGAAACTGTTGAGATTCGGACCATAGTTAATTAGGATTTTTTGGTTCCAATTTGAATTTAGAATCTACAGGCAAAGTTTGTAACACAAAAGCCGAAAACCCTGTTTACAATAGACAATCCAGTGCTATTGTCTTTTTGCCGTGAGAACTTTTAACCAATTACCGCTTTAAAAGGATAATTCATTCATTGTTCAGATCTTTAGACGGATTTCAAAAGATTTATTTATGTTAGGCCAGTGTGTTTTTTTTTTGTTGAAATTAGTTAAAATGTGGATCCTTGATCGTTTCGATCAAAATGATCGGCTTGCTTCGGTGTTTCGGAATAGGTAAAATTGTAGTAGTTGAGGAGATGTGAGGAGTGACGCAACGGATGGCTTATGTTTTGAAACCGGGTCATCCTTTCACTCCGAGTTCAGTGAACCTTCGACTCCGCAAAACTCAAAAAGTCTATCCCTTCCTCCTGACCATAAACATCGCGGTTCCAGTGAGGGGGGGAAGGAGAAAGTCCGATGCTCCGTGTATACGAAGCTCTTATCTGCAAAAGCCGTTGAAAGGTGTTGCAGAGGGCAGGGGGATGAAACTGGCCTACTCCGAGATAAAAATAGACGTATTTAGGTCGGCGATTTCTCCGCCCACGACTTTACACAAATCCAACCGGCCGGTGCTTTCGGTGCAAGCGGAAAGGACGGAAGACTGCGAAGCATCCTTCTTCACCGACCGGCTTACTTTCCAGTCAACGAGAACTCGCCTCTCTTTGAAATCGTGCCAAATGATTTCTGTTTTCAAAGGATTTTCACCTTCCTACAAAAAGGCCAACATATTCAACAAAAATAACCTAGTTCCTCATGAAACCTAACATCAAACATATTCCTAAAAAGAGCTAATTATGTTTCATATTTCTTTGGTACATGTATACATGTTAGATCTACTTTAAGGTTATATACCCATAACTAAATCCTTCTGACATTTTCCTATGATCATATATTTTCGGCTAAGTTCTCTACTACTCTACTGTACTGGTTTACCGTTTAAACATTATTTATGAATTTGGTTGTTTTTAAAACTATTAATAAACAATAATTTTCCTTAGTCATGATGGCGATGTTTTATTGTTGTATTCGTACGTTAAAAAAGGATTATTCACTCCATCGATCAAAAACTTACTTAATTACTTTTTCACCACCTTACCCACTCATTCACTCACTATTCACATCATCACTAACTCGCTCATCCATCACTCACTACATCACCCATTCATTGGTTTTCTCACTTCATCACTAACTCACTCATTCGTTCAAACATTAATGCACACATTAACCACATAATGCACTCATCATTTACCTATATCATCATTAACTCACTCATTTCTCACTCACTACATCTCCCATTCATTCGTTTTCTCACTTCATCGCTAACTAACTCATTCTCACTCACTACATCACCAATTAATTCAATCGTTTTCTCACTTCATGACTAACTCACTCATTCGTTCAAACATTAATGCACATGCTGACTTACTCACTGCATCATTCATTTTCTCACTTCATCACTAATTCACTCATCAATTACTTACTTCGTCAAAATCGCTCATTCTTCACTTACTCACTGCATAACCCAATATTCATTCATTTCCTCACTTTATCACTAATTCACTCATCAATTACTTACTTCGTCATTAACTCGCTCATTCTTCACTTACTCACTGCATCACCCACACATTCATTCATTTTCTCACTTTATCACTAATTCACTCATCAATTACTTATTTAATCAATAACTCGTCCATTCCTCACTTACTCACTGCATTACCCACTCATTCATTCATTTCCTCACTTTATCACTAATTCACACATCAATTACATACTTCATCAATAACTCGCTCATTCCTCACTTACTCACTGCATCACCCACACATTCATTCATTTTCTCACTTTATCACTAATTCACTCATCAATTACTTACTTCGTCAAACTCGCTCATTCTTCACTTACTCACTGCATCACCTACACATTCATTCATTTTCTCACTTTATCACTAATTCACTCAATTACTTACTTAATCAATAACTCGTCCATTCCTCACTTACTCACTGCATTACCCACTCATTCATTCATTTTCTCACTTTATCACTAACACACTTCCTTACTTTACAGACAATTGCTCAGTCACAATTCCTCACTTAGCCACTTCATCACTATATCACTCGCTTATTCGTTCACAAACTCACATACTCACCATTTAATCTCATTCATTGTACCACTTATTTACATTATCACTAACTCATTCATTCATTTACCTACTCACTACCCAATGCACTCATCAGTCACTTGCTTACTTTATAACTACTCGCTCAGTCACTCATTCCTCACTTAGTCACTTCATCACTAAATCACTCGCTCGTTCGTTTACAATCACATAATCACCATCCAACTCATTCATTGAACCACTTATTTACATTATCACTAACTCACTCATTCATATTCCCACATCTATTTTCAATTTTAGAAGTCTCGACCACTTTTTCACTCATGGACACTCGGGATCAAGTCATGATAAAAAGCCAATTTAGTTCTACCAAGCTTTCGACCTATTTTAAGTTCATCATCAGAGGCAAAACAACCTTAAATGTGTCTATAGATTGACATGTTTTTTTGTTTTGTTTTTAAAGGCGATCTCAAATTTCCTTGACGACCGACTCAGTCCTCACCCACTCATTAACTCACTTCATCACTAAAACATTCACTCATTCAACAACTTGCTGATCAATATCGCCCATTCTCGCATTTACTCACTTCATCAAGAACTCATTCACTCGCACATTCTTTCACAATCAGTCACCACTTCACCCTCTTATTAACTAATTTACTGCCTCTTACCCTCACTCACTCCCTAACTCACTCTCTTGCTCAACAGTCCAATCTCTTACAGACACTCACTCATGCAAGTCCTTTCCTATAATAAAGTTGTATGGTCCATCGTCTTTTTGAGAAAATACCTTCTACTTTTTTATTATGTATTTGTTAATTACATCATTAATTAATTGGACGGAAAACTCAATGACCTTTACACAATCACTTTTTAGTGATACTGTAAAAATACTATATTAATAAAAACAGGATTGACAAATAATAATTTTTTTGAAAGGATTTTGTGGAGAATGTTGGCTATTAAGTTGTTATTGTTTTCTTCAGGAATTGCACATGATAGCCGTGAGAATTGTACACCGAAGGCTAAACTTTTTGTATTTTCCCCCTTCCTAGTTGTTTTGGATTTTGTCAATTATTTTGTATTTTTCGCATACGGACAGTTTAGAAAAGTTTCCACAGTTTTATAGTTGTGCACCGGGTAACTGGGTCGACCCCGGTTGCACGGCTATCCGGTAAATAAAAGATGCTACGTGCATTCTCCTTGGGCATCGAAGAGGTGAATTGGGTCGGTTTCGCCTTGAACTTTGAACCCACGCTCTCTTCTCCTTTCTGCGGCAATCACCATCCTTGGGCTCGGATCCTTGGATCGGCGTTAAATTTAAACGAACGCGTCATAAACGAGAATCTGACCCGACGTTTTCAGACCGTTAAGTCAGAAGTAACGCTCTCGTCGTTCCAACCGGCATCATCTTCCTCCAAGGTTCTGACTCAATTTGTTTAAAGAACAATGGAAAAACAGACTTAAGAAGGACCCAGTCCACACGGAAATGAATAAATTTCCTTACTTTCGAGACCTTGTTAAGA